TGTCATTGTCATTGTCATTGTCATTGTCATTGTCATTGTCATTGTCATTGTCATCTCCAAATCTAAAAATTAAATATTATTTTGGGTCTCTCCCAGGGCAGCGTCTAATTGAACTTTGGCTTATTATGAACTTTTTAATGTCTTTAGCTAATCATTCTTGATTTTGTTTTTTCGGTGTTCTTCTTTAGTATTGACATGACCTGTCCTCACATAACTTTTTTTCTGTATGTTTGTAGGTGTGTACATACATATAGACACATGTACCTATTGGAATTGCTGTTCGTTTAGTCTAATGAGAATGCTGCATACTTTTGGGTTTGTGGGGCCTAATGAGTCTCTGGGTATTACATTTAATTTCTTATGTTTTTCTTCAACACAGCTCAGTAAGGATCTTGACTATATAATATACAAATAAATGTATAGGTATATCTTTTATATGTAAGATAGATGTGGCCACAGTTCAATTTCTTGCTTCAATTTGTAATTGGAATTTAGCAGCTTGTTAAATTTCCACTCAAATTTTGGCGTTAGCTGATCAAATGATTAAAACTCGCATTACTGTCGCGTTCAGTGCCTGCAGCATGCTCGTTGGCCCCATGTGGCAGCCATGCTAACCGCCAACCAATCTGCCACGCCTTAAGATGCTGACATAGTCGAAATGTCGAATTGCCTTTAAACGCCTTTGTGCGCGTCTCTTGGCGTTTAGCGTGTGTCAAGTGCTCAAGTCCTATACAATCGATTGATAATCCCAGCGCAATATGTTCAATTTTCAAATACACACGCACACACACACACACACACACACAGGCACAGCATTTGTAGTGCTTTTTATCATCGTCGCCAGCGTCTTGGGCTTGTGCGTGTGTGTGCTTGAGCGCTTCTGTGTATTTCGTGTCTATTCGTTTTTAGCACGTACTCTACGCATTTGATATACCCTCTTCAAGGGACAGCAATCGGCCTGTTCTGGCCATGTTAATAGTGCTGCGACCAAAGGCTGCTCTCGCATCGAACAGCTGTTGCAGGCACAAACGTGCAACATCTGTCACAGCAGCGACTTCTTAGGGCTGCGCCACCATCATTTGGCATGCTGACAATGATAATGAAGCGCGCGTCTGGGCGCGTTGCCGAGTTGCTAAGCAACAGGTAGGCCAGCATTTTGGCCTGGCCTGCGAGGCTGGCTGCCCCTCCTCACCCCACCGCCCCAAAAGCACCCTCACGCACGCACACATGGGCAACAATTCTCGTCTTGTGTGTGAGAGAGCCACAGCATGCAGCTGTTTTTGGGCGTTCGTCGCTGTGGCTATGGCTGTGCCTGTGCCTGTGCCCGGCCCATTCGTATGGCGCTCGGGTTTGGCATTCGTATTCGCCGCTGCGACAAGAACTGGGAAATTTCTACATATTATCTGCGCACTCGCTCTCTCTCTCTCTCTCCCGCAATCTTTCTCTCTCTCTCTCTCCCTGGCCATAGCTCGCTCGCCTTTAAGTTATGCTTGAAAAATTTCCCTGCTACAATCGGATTTGCAGACGCCTGCACTTCTCGCATGCGATTTGTGAGCGTCGTGCGCGTTTATCGCTCGGCAAATTCGCAAGCGCGTTCGCTGCTGCCACTGACGTCGACGTCGCTGTCGATGTCGCTGTCGCTGTCGCTGCTGCCGCCAACGTCTCGGCACGCACGCTGGCAAAAATTGTGGCAAGTCCCAAACGCTCTGCAGTCGTCGACAGAGTCGCCTGGCGCCCCGCGTGTTGCCAGTGTGTGTGCTGTGGCCGTGTGTGAAAGTGATTTCAGTTTCTAGTTCTCGTTCAGCATTGCCGACGGCACGACGTGTTTGCTCTACTCACTGAGTGTGTGTGTGTGTGTGTACGTGTGCGCAGTGCGTGTGCGTGTGCGTGAGCCTGTGCCTGTGTGTGTGGCGCGGGCGCCGAAGCAGCAGCAGCAGCAGCTGAAGCGCAATTTCCATTGCCTTCGCCATTGCTTTGCGACCAGCGGCGACAAAACCAAACAAAACAAATCCAAATAACTGTTTCATCAATTGGTCAGTGTTCGAAAATTTAAAAAAAAATATATATATATAGAGCTAATTTTTTTTTTTTATTTTTGGTGTTGGACTTCCATAACAAAAAATAAATGGGTTAATTTTTTTGTAAATTAAAGTGTGCAAATTAATTAATAATTAGAAAACAAATTTATGCAAAAAATTTGGCAAGTTACAAAAATTTAATATTTTACAAACAACCACATGTATACAAAATATTAAGAAATATCTAAGAATTTTATTATATATTTGAGCAAGTGTAAGATTTAATGAGACTAAGTTAAGTATTAAAAAAATACTTAGAAAACTTAAACAAAATTCAAGAGTGAGTTTTTTTTGAATGCCTTAAATTGAGAGCTGAAAAATGCAAATTGACAACAACAAAAAATGTATAAATATATATATTATAAATATACATATATAAAAATACGAATATAAGGAATTATGTTAAGCTCTTGATGAATATTTAATTGGGGTATAAATTGTTATGTTATTTTTGTCATACATATTTTTGTTGAGCTCGGCTTAAGCGGATTATGCAGCAAAAAATTGCATTCAATATAAATTACAAATACATATTTATGCATATTTTTTTTATATATTTTATTTATTATATATATTTAATTGTAGTCAACTTGCGCTCATTATAGGTTTTATATCTCCGTTGAATATTGTGATAAATCATTTCTGATAAGAGCACTGAGCTCAAATTTGTGTGCCCAGATTTATGCTCGAAAATTCCAATTTTTTCATATACCAAGTGAATGGATGCTTGAATACTCCTCCACCCTTAACAAATAGCTTTAGTTTTTGTCAAAATAATTTCCGCTTCATGTCACTAATATTACAATAGTAAGCCATATGCAGTGCTTCGCAATACTCGCTTTAAAAATGCTGAAGACAAAGTTTTAACTGATTTGCCAAGCGCCCAAGAGGCATAGATTTATATTAGATTTTTAGAATATATCCATTGCACTTAATCTATTGTCTAATCATGTCTAAACATGATTGGTTTGCCATTGTTCAAGACCTTGTTCTTCTTAACATGTCCAGCCCCCAGTTTGGCGTATATATTACACTAAAACCAATATGCTCTTTTCCACATAAAAGACGAGCATTATCTTTTCTCTTGCTTGTTATTGTTATTCGCATAATGGCAAATTAATTATTATTTTTTAATTATCAATATTATTTTTATTGTTAATTATTATTTTATTATTATGATTGCAATTCGTATTATTATAATTAATTTATATATATATATATATATTTTTTTTTTTGTCATAAATATGCTAATATTTATGACTTTGGCTTATATATGATTAAAATTCAAGAAGTGACCTTGAACCATATCCACGTATTTATTTTTAATTAAAATTGTTTATATTACATATTATTATTAAGTGAAATTTGACCTTCTAATGTCAACTGAGTTTCAAGAAACATTTAACATTAAGCAATCGACAATGTTTGTTGGAAGCTAGGTAACAATTTGATGTCATAACTCTAATGACCAAATGTATTTGGGCGTGTGTGTGTGTGGGTGTGTGGGTGTGTGTGTGTGGGTGTGGATGTGTGCTTGTCCGTTTGGCTTGAAAGAGACATTTTACATAGCTTAGGCCCAGTAAAGTAAACAAATGTAACTAACATGAATGAACGAATATATATTGTATAGGCTAAGAGTAATTTGATAGGGAGTGTGCGACTAGCAAATATCCTGCAAGTTAACTGGGAGAATATCAAAAGAAAATTAGAGTGGAGGAAGTTACGGAAGTATTGCAGTACACTGAAGCTTAAAGACTCGACTCGCAAATACTTTGCCGCTCAATGGATTTGAAAGGATTACGAAAACCATATTCATGAATATTTCGCAATGTTGGGAGATCTATCAGCTCTAGCTCTAGTTCATTCAGCTGCACAACTGAACAAATAATTGGGCCAGGCTCAACTCGGCTCACAGATACTGATATTCCCTTTGCTCCCTTTAGCTTATTCCGCATGCACATGCTACGAAAATCCGAATACCCTCTATTGTGCGCCCATTTATATCTCTAATGGACTCCGAGTACAACCAAACAAACAAAGACTGTATATAAAAAAAAAAAAAATAAAAATAATAATGTGCACAAACAAACCCAACAGCAACTGAGCTGTAAAGGTAGAAACCCTCGACAGGGCAAATAGTTGCGCATACTTAATTACATGTCAGGCACTTAACAACAATTTGTTATAAATAAACAATAAGAATTTGAATATGCTTCATTTTTTCCTTTTATTTGCTCTTTTTTTTCTGAAACCATTTAAAACACAAGCGAAACATTCATAAATTTTTCATAACAATTTAAAGACTACGAAAATCTGCCGAAACGAAAACAGACCAAAACGAAGCAACAACAACAACAACAACAACAACAATAGGCAAATGAGATGCTCTAAACATCCACGCTAACTGTCTGCGAAACATCAAATTGTTTTTAATTGTATTTTAATTGTATTTGCAGTGCTTAAAGTTAAAAACAAAATGCGAGAAAAGGAAAATTACAAAAAATTGCGTATACGCCGCGTTGCCGCCGCTGCTCACAGCGAAGGCACAACTGAGCTGAGCTCTGAGCGTGTATTTGTGTGTGTGTGTGTGCTAATGTATACATATATATGCCTCTCTATGCATCCATATAATTCCCAGTTGCATGAGCTTTGCATTGCATTTCGAAATATTACGCATACGCCACATGAGCCGAAATTTGAAAAACACAAGCAAATGACAGTTGGCAAACAGAATTCTCAATTGAATTAAAGTCCACGCAGCTCTGTCATCTACATACAACAAGCTATGACGAGCCTTTAAAGCCGACTCCTGCTGCGATTATTGACTGTGGCAGCGGCAATGGCTTTAAGGCTGCTTTAAAGACAGCTGCCATCTATATACACATAAATATGTGTATGTGTGTATGTGTGTGTGCGTATTTGTTAAGGTCACAAGTGCTAGCAGGACAATGAACGTCAGTCAGTCAGTCAGCCAGTCAGCGAGTCAGTGAGGCCTGCGAGGCCTGTGCGAGTCCTGTGGCTGCGTTCGCTTCGTGTGTCAGCAAAAGTTTTGAAGGCAGCTTTTTTTGTCCCTTTGTCCGTCATGGCCTGGAGAGGCGATTGTGAATTGATGACGGCACAAACTGGGCACAAAAGGCGAGCGACTCTATTAATGCGAGCATCTTTGTCGTAGTCGCTGTCGTTCTAGTTGTAGTTGTTGTTGTTGTTGTTGTTGTTGTTGTTGTTGTTGTTGTACTTCTTCATCTGGCTGCCTTGCGGTTTAGACAGACACTCGAGGTGCATTAAAAAGTCGCAGCTAAAATGCAGCTGCATCTGCATAAGCAGCGGCCGCTCATGTAATCAATAAATATTACTTGCGGGTTTTCACAATCAGCTCGAAGCGCCCACACAGACACCCACACACACGCACACTCGCACACATCTCTGTCCATTCATGAGAAGAATTTGGGGCCGTAAACAATAAAGGAAAGCTAAAACGAAATGAAATGAGCGTAATTTGTGTAATTCGCCTGGGGCCACAGCCTGGCCGCGAATGGGGGCTAACAAATGCTTTCCAAATTGATGTGCATAAATATTTGTATATTACTTTTCGCTCAAATTTGCCGCCGCACAGATTTCGCCAGATTTACACGGCGGCCGGGCCGCACGCAGCGAAAGGCGTGAAACAGTTGCGACATTTAAGCGGAAACTCTTGTTTTGCTATTCAATTGAAAAGTCTCACTCCCTTCCCTACCCCTGCGCCAAATAGAGCAACAAAAGTCGGATCAGTCATAGATACTAGTGAGAAGCACAAAAACGTATCTCTTTGGACGTGCAACAAATCAATATCAAAACAAAGAACCAAAGCTCAGTAATCACACTAGAAAAAAAATATAAAAAAAAAGAAAACACAACAGCAACAGCAACAGAACAACAACAGCAACAGAAACTAACTTCAACAATTCAGTGCAAAGCACAACAACATTTGATTGATTTGTGGCAGCAACAATAACAGCAACAACAACAACAACAACAACAACAGCGGCAAGCGGGCAACTTTCGGTGAGTAGCCACACAAATAAATAATTAATGAGGCGTGAGTGTGTGTGTGTGTGTGTGTGTGTGAGAGAGAGTCTATGTGTGTGCTTTAACAATTGCACAAACAACAATGTAAACGAAAAGCAACACACGGCAACAAAAATGAGGCTATAAAACAAAACAACAACAGAACAAGAAAAAAAGAAGGAAAAAAGAAAAGAAAAAACAGCGTGAAAACAACTAACCAAAGCTATGTGAAAAGCAAAAAACAAAGCGACAAAAAACAGGCGAGCAGCAAGTGCATAAAAATTACACTAAATACACATAACAACACACACACACACACACGGACACACACACGCACACAATGTGCATTTAACCTGGCTGGGGGAAAAAAAGGAGAAAACAAACAACAAACAAGCGACAACTAAATAAATGATGTGATTATTTTGTTGCTCGCTGCCTTTGCCTAATGCGCTTCGTGCGGCTTCGTGTGGCAAGCTGCAGCAGTTGCTGTCAAGCCTTTCAAAATAACAGCAATTACTTAAAGGATAATGCACATAATGCGTATTATGCTATAACTTGGCGAAACAGAGGCGCTCACTCTCTTTCACTCTCTCTCTCTCTCTCTCTGTCTCTTTCACTCTCTCTTTGTTCAAGTGTTTTTTTATACTGAAGTGCTCTCACATAAATGTCTACATCTGAGCTCTACACAACTTCGTCAAAGCTGAATAGAGATCTGAGCCTTTGCATTTTCTAAGGCTAGTCAGGTCCTAATTCAAATTATCTATGCATATACTCGGATTATGCTTGGGCAAAAATCGAATTCACATTCTGCTAGCTTGGTTCCTGAAGGTGACCCATTCCTAAAATTTAAAAATGATATTCTGATTGAGATTATTTTTAGCTAAATTGCATTTAATTCAATTTGCTTTACCAAGTATCTCTTTGAGATAATTTTAATTTAATTTAATTAATTACATTTTTTATAATTCAGCTGCCTTCAGTTACAGTCTAGCTCAGCCTGACTTAAGTAAAAATACCTTTTTCTTAGTCACATTCTAATTCATATTATTTTAGGCAGCTTAGCTTCATTTGAATACATTTTAAAGTAAATGATAATAATTCAAACAGCAACTGAAGGTTTTTATTTTTAATCAATATTTTCAGTCCATATACAGAGTTTTCCTTTGCTACATATTTTGACCCATCAATTGATTGATTAAATAAAATAAAATCAATTTTATTTCACTAGACCTATCAAAGTCCTAGTTATTTATTTCCTCATATCATAATAGGTGAAACCTTCCGACAGCAGAACTGAAGAAAATCCAAACTTCTGTCTGTGAAGGACTTCAAACTATCCAAAAATTCAATTTGCTCAAGAATATATGCATGTATATACATATGTATATATGTAATTTGTTTTTAGAATTAATCGAATATACACATGGGATAGACAGAGACCTTATATCCCATATCTGTCTGCTGTCTGTCCGTCCGTCTGTCAATCTGTCCGCCTGTTTGTCTATCTAATTCTCGGCAAGTTTTCTGAACTGAAAATAAACATTTTGTGGGTCTCGATGTGTGTTTATATATTGCAAAGTGTTTATATTGAATCCCTGTTTGTTTTTGCTCAGAAATAAACCAAACTCAAATATTTTGCACTTTGCAAGCCAAGAAACCACACAAAAGCACTGCGAATGCATTACAAATTCATCAACTCACTCTCTCTCCCTCCCTATCTCTCTCTCTCTCCATCTCTCTCTCGAATTGCTCTAATAAAATATTTCGAGAGGAATTTTTAGCTTAACTTGAATTTGATTCATGCTTTTATTATTATCATTATATATTCATCAAAGCGAAGTGAAATACATATTTAACACAATTTGTTTATTTAACCACAAATAGAGAATGTGTAAAAATAAATTTAATTAGTTTTGTGTCAAAAGCAAACGTCAATGAAAGGTAACAAAGGCAGCGGCCCGAAGGCCTTTGTGCAATTGTTAGAAGCAATCAAATGAGTATTTATATGCCATTCTATGTAAACATGTATGTATGTATGCATAAATATATTTACATACATGCGACACACACACACACACACACACACACATAGTTAGTTGCATGCACAACACATCCGGAGTAAGCAAATAAAAGAAAATACCTGCAGGCGCACTCAAATGTAATTTATAAATGGAACAGACATGTTTTTTCTCTTTTTTTATTTATTTTTTATTTTGCATATCTGATCGGCATAAGACAACACAACAACAACAACACTTCACAAAGTTCGACGTACATTGAATACCCTGCAGTCAAATGCTAATCCAGTTGTTTGACAAATTTCTCAATTTGTTTCAAGCAATTGCAGCTGAATCTGAGAAAAAGGAAAATGTTATTCCGTAACCTGGGAATCTTGGAGTTGTGTGAAGAAATTTGATGTTCTTAAATCATATATACAACTCTAGTTAGTATGACTGAGCTCAGACTCATTCAAAGTTCTGTATTGATGCCGATAAAAATTCTGAATAATGCGAGAATTTAGTTTCAATCTGATTGAAACGTGCTCTATGCCATCTATTTCAATTAGATGCGCTATTCGTCCATACTCTATGCAAGTACAACATATTTGCACATATATCTAAATGTGTATATGCCTTGAAAAGCCTTGAGATTCGTCATGAATTCTTAGTGCATTCAAAGTTCCAATTGGCTAGTTTGCCCGAGACATACAAATGATATGCCCACTGCAGATGGCTGCAGTATTTTTTCCCCGATTACACTTATAGTTAGGACTTATTTATACTGCAATCAACATAATATACCCTAGATAAAAAATGAATAGAAAATTAATATTATATTGTGTCATGTAGTACATACAGTTGTCAGCTTACGCATGTCTGCGCTCAGGCTACTTCGCTATCTAATCAAACTCAATTATCAGCCTACTATATCCATTCAGCTGATTATATGCTATATCACATAATAAGCTGTTGATAGCACTTGATGGCCGACGGCATTGTAACATTTTTCAATTGCTTTTGCTTGGCTTATGATGTTGACGAGCAGCGACGATGACGATGATGAGGATGATGATGATGATGATGGTGATAGGAATAATAATAATGATGATGATGACAGGGATAATAATTAGATGGACGCTTGAGGCGCGAGCTGCTCTCGCGCATTGCCAAAGCGAATGTCTGACAGCTAATGGGAAAAACATAGAGACAACGAGAGTGAGAGAAGAGAGTGTGAGAGAGAGAGAGAGAGAGAGTTGAGGCTGACAACAACAAATGGAGAGCGACAGGCGGCAGCAAATTTAATTTCGTAAGTGATTTTTGGCAAGACAGGTGAAGGCGTCTATAAATATAGGCGATGTCGGCATAAATTTGTCTGCCTGGGCACGCGGCACACTCGACACACATAGAGAGACAGAGAAACACACACAGAGAGAGAGAGAGAGTGAGAGGGGGAGAGAAAATGTGAGGGCAGGGCTGCCGGCGGTTGTAAATAAAATAAAAAATATTGCAAACAAAACGAAAATCAAAGCGAAATTCAGTTTAATCGGGGCATTCGCGTCAATTTGACTTGGGCGACATATAAATTTCAAGCACACACACACACATGAGCGAAAGCTACGCTGATGGCGCCACAAACACATAGAGAGAGAGCGAGGCAGAGAGAGAGGGCGGTGGGGCGTGGCTGGAGCAATAACTGCGCACATCACCAGCCAAGTACATCAAAAAGGTAGAAGGCACAGCATAAAAATAAACCATACCAGGCAACAACAACAACAACAACAACAACAACAACGGAATAAACCAAAGCATGCTTCATGCTTGACAATTGACGGCACAATGGGGGCGTCAGCGACGCTAAGCAGCCACGCCCCCCTTGTGGGCAATGCAAGTGTTTTGTTCGCATTTCACTTAAATCATTTTCACATCAATGCGGCAGCCCATTCACATGAGCTGAAGTTTAGTCGTGTCAGCATTTGCGACTTGCGAAACTGATTCACAGCAGCCATAAAATCAGTTTTCATCTCGATTTGCCACGCCTCGATTCGATTCGACTTGTAAAGCTGATGGACCGCAGACGTAAGCCTCGGCCTTAGCTAGGTTTACGATGCCACCAAACTTCACCATTTGGAGTTGTGGCTGGGTTTGGCTTGAAGCTTGAAGCTTGATTTACTCTAACCGTAAGCCCGTGCCTCAACTAGGTTTACGATGACTACTAGCTGCCTGTCTTGAGCTGCTCTGCGGCTCAGCTAACGGTGCTGTTTTACTCCAAGTTTCAATGAAGTTGGTCTGGAGTGGATGTTCGACTAACTAAATCATCAACTGATGAAGTTTATTTACGTCTACTAGCCAAGTTTTAGCTAGCTAAAGTTCGGTTCAGTTATAGATATATTGATATATTGTTCAGTCTCCATTTTGTGGATAAGAAAGAGAATTATCTTTTTTCATGCCCCCAATCCGATTTATATTCAAATCAAATTGATTCTCTTCAAAGTCCCATTAAAAATATTTAAAGTTTATTTCATTTATTTATTGGATATTCATATATATCTTCTGTTGCCTTTGGCTTATTGAAAATTTGCTAATTAAAATCATTTCAAATGAGCTGAAAAGTGGCTCGCCAAGTGACAAAATCTGCAAATCCATTTAGGAGTTGTCAAACAAACACCAAAAAAAAAAAAGGGGCAAACAGCAGACGAAAATTGGGTGAATAGAAACCGAGCAATGTCTGCTTGTCCGTTGAGGTGCGAGTTAATTGTGGCTAGATTTATGTGTCTGCGATTGTTTCTAATTGTGTGTGCGTGCCGGCGTGTGTGCTT